CCAGGATTTCGTACGATGGATCATTGGACTCTGTCCTCGCTTCGAATCTGCGTGATTGTGTGTGTCGCGTATGTCAACGGGGTAATTGTTACCGAGAACGAGTTCCCTCGGCTCGAATTACGAAAGGTTTCAGCTTTAATGGGATTGAAACGTGCCGGACACGCGCGCCTGCTCGTGCTTCTTGCCCGTGTGTAGCTATTCGATGGTTGCGAGAGAGCTTTGTGTCCTTTGTGGAGCACGTGCTTCCACTTCGATGTGACAGAGGGCTTAGCCACTCTTACCGACCAAAAACTCGTGCGACTGCTCCTTCTAGAAATTTGTTTACTTTGTGCATTTATAATTGTTCCGGCCGCTTGAACGTTCTCGAGAGCCTTTTATATTTTTAGGACAGGGACGTTTCGTTGTTATTTCGATGGAATTTTTCACGAGTGTGTTCGCGGTGTTGCCGTTACACGTCGTGTTGCCGCAATACCACCGTCGCGCTTACTTAATACATCGCATATTTATTCATTTCCGATCTTAATTCGTATTAAAATTCAATTATCGAGTGGTTTAGGAAAGTCTCGATTATTAGAAAAGACAAAATTACAGATACTTGGCCGAATACGTACGAAATTTTCTTTCGATCCGATGTACTGGATAAATAATTAATTGTAAATGCTTTGGGGGAAACGATCAACCATTGGGGGGGGGGCGAGAATAAATTTCGCGTGTTAATAGTTTCAATGAATCGAGAGCATATGTGATTCATTCATTCCAGTACGCTTCGATTTTTTTTATTGTAATTTCCTGCGGTTGTAATCGTTGCCTCTTATCGAGTTCCAAGCAAAACCAAGCTCGCGAAACAAAGAATCTTTTCATACGGGGACGACAATTTCTCCTGGAACGATTTCTCGTGTTGGATAATTCGTCTTTATTATAAACATTCTAGTTTGGGCGATTCGATTATCGTCAGACACATTCAACGAGCCGAGCAGTAGTTTATTTCTGACAAAAGGTTGCGTTTATGCAACTTCTAAGAAATATAGTATTTATTTTAAACGTAGCCTAAATTGTACATATGTATACGTATATCGTTTCGAAAGTTTATTAAAAGTACGAAATGCGAAGAGGTCAGTCGGGTCACAGCGATATAATGTACGAAGGTCAACGGTGTTTACATTTATGTAGTCTGTTTATACTAATTGTATTTACTATCCGTGGTCGTCAAAGGTACCATAATACTCAGAGCGCTCCTAGAAACAACTAATTAACGAAATTGACAGTGGACCAAAACGATATTTATTACTTCAAGCAGTTAATTATTATCCAAGTTCGTTATTGACATATTTCCACGCAAATTCTCTGAAAGGTTTTCAAGGGGTTACTGATTGAGAACACATATTTTTATTGACATTCATTGTGTTAACAGTTGCATCACAATGTGGGTTTTCTTTTAATTAATTAGGATATACATACAAGGTTTTCGACCACCTCTGGGAAAAATTTTAATGGGAGATTGTAGAGGCCAAAATAAGACGAAAATCAAGAATATCAATTTTTAATTTGAGGCTTCGTTAAAAAGTTATTAACAATTAAATTCAAAAATTTCAAATCGTTCTAAAAAAATTATTTTCGGTTGCGGAGATCAATTACAATCATTGGGTCATTATACATACCCCCGAAATCCAATGCACTTTCGAGAAAAAAATTCCTTACCGAAAATCTAATTAGGTGCCTAAATTTTTCGACGAAGAAAAAAATTTTAAATCGTTCTGGAAAAATTATTATCGGTTGCGGGGGTGAATTACAATCATTTTTGGTGAATAGACATACCCCCGAAATCCTGCGCATTTTCGAGAACAAAATTCAGTACGGGCGGAACTTTAAACGTTAATAACTTTTTAACGAATCCTCCATCAACAAATTAGTATTAAAATTTTTCCCAGGGGTGGTCGAAAACCCTGTACATATATGTATATGTATATGTATAGTGTTTATGCCTATTTAAAAATGTTTAACGGTTAATGGGCAATTTATTGTTCATAGATTACTTACTAGTATTGAAAAACAAAGGAATTTCTGTCGGTATACTTAAGAGAAAATAGGTTATGTTCCCCCTCCCACTAATAATGGCACTTTTTTCCCCTCCCCCAGAGACGTTGCGAAAATTTTCTAGGGGATCCACATCGTCGACCGATCGGGAGAAATCGGAACAGGCTGGCGAGAGGCGCGCAGAAGCCGTGGGTTGGCTAAGGTTAATTCGAGGGAGCCCCGTGGGAAAGAGAGGGGGGAATAAAGGGCCTGGAGGGGCGGAAAGAGGCGGAAAGACGGGGACCACCAGCGGAACGTGACCATCGAACGCACCGGAAATCCGAACGTGCCCGAGATTCTCCGATTGTCCTTGAATCGTCTAGGGATTACAGGAACGACGATCATGGCATTCCGCAGTGCCATACTGCAGCCACGTTGCGCCCGACCGGAAATGCGCAAGGGCTTTTCCACGACTCGACGATTGTCCTACCGATCGCCGATTTGAAAAGTAAGTTCTCTCTCTGGCCCAAGAACTATGTTTTCCTTTGGGAGAGACGTTATTAAATTATTACTATTTTATGATAAATTAAGTTTAAGAATTTAAGTTTTGGGAACTGTTGGTACTAGATAGCGTGTTAGAATATTTTGAGCCGTGTCTGCTATGGACTTTAGAACTTGAATCCTTATTTTTCTGAAAATAAGTATTCTTGGATATTCCCAGTTTTCCTCGGTCTCACATGACGCACACTCTCAGGCGGGACGTCTCCCTTGAATGACTCACTGGTCTCGTTTCTTAAAAACTCCGCATAAAATTCGCTCGTCGATCTTCCAGCTATGAAAAAAAATGGCTCGATCGAGAACGATCGCCAATGATTTCCGCCCACGCCTTAACAACAAATCAACCGTTGGCAAGGAGCAATAACCAAAGAAATTGGTAGAAATTCTATTCAATAATTGGATCTAGCGGTTTTGTAACTCTCGACAATTATTTATGACTCTAGGCAATAGAAATTAGTTTAAATTATTCCCTCCTCGTTCAACTGCATAGGTCTTCTGAACAAAAATGTCCCAAATATGGAGCTTTTCGCATAAGTGACATTCATCCGTCTTTTCAGAAATAGAAATAGATATTGAATCAGAGAAAACTAAATATAAAAAATGTAGAAAGATCACAAGTGTAACTGTTTTAATTATTACCCGACGAGGAACATTTTATTATACTAAAAAGTAATAAAAAGATGGAACAGGAGAAAAATGGGCCGGAAGAGACCTCAGCAGGGATTAAATAGGCGAAATTTATTCGAGAAAATTATGGTCCACGGTATGGATTTTCTAAAGGCAATGTACCACATTAGAGAGGAAAGAATTCCGGTTATCGGCGCAAAGAACGAGGTCAACCCGCGTTGGCACGTTCCTGGAGATAACGATTCTCATTCCTTTGGTCGAGTTTGATTATCTTCCGGTATCCGGTGTGTCCTACGGGAGGCTTCCGTTTTTCTTTGACGGTTCTTGCTACTCCTCGCTTACATTTACATTTCATTGATCCGCATCTACGCTGTGTCGTCCCTCTTCAGGCTTTCCTTCGGTCCATTGGTTGGATCCGTGACGTTTTTCCAGCTTACTGATTGTAATGCTTTGCGCCCGTCGGATTATCCCCGAGATGACCGACCCTGTTAAACCTTTGAAGCCTCGATGTTTGATTATTATCTCGTACGAGTCACTGGTTACGACGGAACGAGAAGATGAAATTGTCTTCCATCGAATAAATTGTGATACCAGGATCTTCGCGTTGGAAAATTAAATGGAAAGTTTGCGGTAACGATTTCTTACTATGTAAATTCACTCCAGAATTTAAACATCCTGCAATTTTTCTATACAGACATTTTATAACACGTTTCTGAGCTTGCACAAGTGTTTTTGTAACTTTAATATGTGTCTGGATGTTTTTTTTAACAACGAACGCAAAGTATCATTTTACGCGAAATAGCTAAAATGTGACTTACACCACTATGGCTCTCAATCCAGGGCGTTCAAAAATACCACTTTGTTGATTGAGGCTTCGTTAAAAAGTTATTAACGTTTAAAGTTTCGTACCGATCCGGAAAATTTTTCGGCGAAAAAAAATTTCAAATTGTTCTGGGAAAAATATTTTTGGTTGCAAGGGTCAATTACAATAATTTTTGGTGAATACACATACCCCTGAAATCCTACTCACTTTCGAGAAAAAAATTCGGGTAGGTGCCTTTTGGCGAAATTAAAAAATTTCAAATCGTTCTATAAAAATTATTTTTAGTTGCAGGTGTCAATTACAATCATTTTTCATGGATACATATACCCCCGAAATCCTACTCACTTTCGAGAAAAACATTCGTGTAGATGGACAAATTTTATTAATAATTTTGTTAATAACTTCTTAACGAAGCTTCAATCAACAAATCGGTATTCGTGAATTTCGTCTTATTTTGGCCTCTAGAATCTCATTAAAATTTTTCCCAAAAGGTGGCCGAACACCCCGTATGTCAATGTAACTATTTGAAAATTTCTGCAATCCTCCAATAGTTTATTATTTATTAAATGCTTCGAAGGAAAGTCGATTTCCATTTACCAATTTGGTAAAAATCAACGTTAAGTAAAATAATTCAGTTGTCGGACCGAGAGTCCACTCAAGGGTTAATGCGTCATGTGAGGGCCCTTCTCAGCTGTTTGTTTATATTTCCTGTCAATTATTGATGTTTTGCGACGTATCAGAGGGGAAAGCGGGGTTAACGATGGTGTAAATTGTCGTAGGTCGGCGGATGGACGTGGCAGCCGCTGAGAAGTCCGAACACGGAAGAGAGTACGACGCCCGTCGACACCGGCGTCGGCGTCGAAGAAGCGGTGAATCGACGGAATTCGGCAGGTTCGCGCGAAGGAAACGAGAGCGGAAGAAGCGTGAGTCGACGTCGCGGATCAAACGAGGGAGAAGGGGGAACGTTACAACGTCTTAGCGGGGAAGGGAAGGAAATAAAAAAACAAAAGTTGTTCAGTGGTACTGAGTAAGCCGTAGGCCTCCTAGGAAGGTCGTCGTTCGATTCCGCTCCGACGTTTTATTTTATTTCGCTTCTACGGTTCTCCACGGAAATCGTGTCGCCAATTTAGTCTCGCGATTCGACATGAGATTCTTCCGGTCGCGTTTACGTTCGTTGCAACGAATACCGCGACACTAACGCGTGTGAGGTTTTCGTCTCGTCGCGGACACCGGTGGTCCGGATCGGTTGTGGTGCCTTTTCGAATCGCGTTAGGTGGACTCTGGTTCCTCTAGTGGTTTCGGGGACCGTTCATAGAGCAAGTGAAAAGCAGCAGTGATTTTTTTTCGGTTTCGTCGCGACGAAATTATATACACGTGATCGCAAGATGATGGTGCTTGTTCAGACGGTGCTGACGGTGGTCTTCTCTGCGTTGGCGACAGGAGCATCGCGATCCTCGGCCATCTACGCGGACGACAAAGTGGTGAGTCAATGAATTCTGCGAGCTTTCGCAGCCTTGACTTGTTCATCCGTCACACGGGTTAATTATCGGATCGAGTCACGAGCAATTACTGTTTTTTTTCCTGTTAATTCAAAAATGTTACGGAACAATTTATTGTTCAATCAGTCGGCTGTGTTTTGAGGATTATATCCGTCATAAGAAAGTGGCGGTATTTTAAAGTTTGTTAGCATTTGCTATTTAAATTGTAATTTTAGCGAAAACTAAATTATCGTAAATTTCAATATGTTTAGAATCTTTAGAGGTAGGAACAACATAAAATAAACAAGTGCCTGTTCTGAAAAGAGGTCGCCACAGCTGGCTGGTTACGTACAAATAAGCAGATAACATAGTCGAGAAGAAAGCTCCAAAATTGTAGGAAGGATGCTCGTTAACAAATTTGTTAAAGTTATATCAATAAAACGTGGTTTATTTGTAAAAATGAAACGTGTGCCCCTACAGCCATAGAAACGTAAATCACTAAAAACATCTGTTTATCATCTTTATTTACTATAAATGTTTTGAATCCAAAAAAGGAACAGCGGATCCTTGTTTGTTTATAGTAAATAAAGATGATAAACAGATGTTTTCAATGATTTACATTTCTGTGGTTGTACGACACACGTTTCATTTTTACAAATAAACCACGTTTTATTGATGCAACTTTAACAAAATTACGTTGTGTTCGTGAACTATTTGAGCAAATCGATCTTCTTCGAACAATGTTTAACATTCAAGTTTAATAGTTGCTTTTCCAATAGCTGGTTTTTGAGCGATTTTTGAAAAAACACTGTAGGCGTTTTGGCGGAGAAAACTGTTGATCGATTAATTTTGAAAAGTATAGACGTCCCTGGCGCGATATTTCACCGTGGTCTGTAATCCACCGAGTAATCCGGATTATGCGGAATAAAGAAAAAGATGGTACCTAGATCTGGCCAGAGGCGTCATAATTTAAACCGGTGTCACCGAAGTCGCCAATTAATTATTTCACGAACAGCTCTTACGATTGTTCGTGGAACCTCCTGGAAACCATGCTTCGCGAGGGCTCTAGCCTGATTTAGGGAAACCTAAATTTTCCTAAAAATTCATTTTACTGTTCGTTCGAAATTAATTGAGAATTTTTAGATCGCGAATGAAAATTTCTACAGTACCGAGCGTAACTGTAATACTGATATTTTCAAGATTTTTATAATTTGAAAGAAAAATTCTTTGCTGTTCGTTAAAAATTATAGTAGAACAATGTTACGAATCTATAATTAAAGAATCTTTATGAAAAAATGACTTAAAAGTCCTTATACGCGGATATCCCTTCCATTAGTCGACACGATGCAACGAACGAGGTTCGCGCGCGTTTATAGAGGTTGCATCAATTGGGGTTTCGCTTTACCGTGAAATGTATGATTTCCTTCTTCCTAAGACAAACTACGCATCGTCTTGGTGCCCGAAGATCCTAACCTCATGAATACGCATCATTATTCATCTGTAAAGCAGAGATCTCTTCTCAGAAAGCATTCAATATTCACTCTGTCGTCTCTAGTAACTCTCTTATTCTTAGGTTTCGCGGAAAATCGAACAACTTCTCGGAAACATTCTTTTCAACAGAAATTATTCGATTCTCTTAATATTAATAAATAAATCGTTTGCTTAATATAGAAATCAATTACAAGAAGAATATATTTCACACTTGTTTTCACCGCCTAATTGTTCTACTATTTTTACATCATTTTAAGTAAAACTGTTCTGGGTGGCAGCAAATGAATCCTTCGTCATATTTAATTGTCATAATACAGATTATTCTAGTGAAGTTCCTCGGTCGTCATCGTTCCATCTCGCGAGAAAAATTGAAATATAATATCAATATACATATGTTTCGAACAAAGCACGATCGCATTTAAAATTTCCAGCGTCATGTATTCCTTTTCTGTATGCATCATTCCGTACGTGTGATTGCCTTTAATTCGATAGATTGATAAAATAATGATTCAGTGTCAAGTAATTTCTGAATCATTTGTGAAGTAGTTAATTACTCGAATATTATTCAAAACTATTAGATACATAGTAGAGGTGTAAATGAATGAATTTTGTATTTCTTTATAACGAATTTCACTGTCTAGACAAATTGATGGACAATGCATTTATTTAAATAATATATAGACAAATGAGAAGGACAAGTTCAGAAAACTCGGCACGAACTAATATTATTTCTCCGGTGACAACACTTCTTCGATCGATCACGGTCTGTCCCACTGATGATGATCCATCGATCGTCAAATTCCCACGTCCAAATTTTGACTACCATTCATACGATTCGTTAATATACTTTTTTTTTTAAACTTATAATATAACAATTCCGGAATATCCACTGGTGAAAGCTCCGTGTCTCAAATATAGTGCAACAAGTCGCTGACACGAACGAAAAGGGAAACATAAAATGGCTTAAAAAATGACAAAGTTACGCGTGATAGCGTTGAAATTTGGTTTACGAGCAAATTTCTGCCGTTTTGTCACGATATTGCGAAGACGTTCGTCGCACGAGGGTGGCGAAAAATGAAAATTGTAAACGAGGCTGGAAGAAATACGACGTGGAGAAAGGGATCGAAACGCGAAGAAAGGGATCCGTGGCTGGATGTAGGTTGGGAAGGCAAGAATTTCGACTGGGGGTTGTTTCCGGGGAAAGAAGCGAATCGCTTGACACGAAAGGAGGGTTGTGAGGACGCAGGCGCCACGTCTGAAAGCACGCAGTCAATATACGCGACTTTCGCACGCGGAATCGACCGTGGTTCTTCGTCATCCCGCCACACAGCCGCAAACCGCCTTTCTGTTTGTGACACACGCATAAAATAATGCCACGTGCACAGTCCTGGCGCCCCCGCATCGCCCGAGATATGTGTAAGCTGCGAACATTAAATCCACACTGCTCGGTACAACACACACTTTCAAACCCGAGCACGCGAAAATTCAGACAACGAGTTTCATTCGAAGAAAAAACTAGATGAATCTTGAAAAATGCGATTGCACTTTTACCCCGGGTATAGAATTTCAACAGGAACATGTTTCTCTTCATAAAAAACGTTACTTCGACCCTCGTGTCAAAAGGTTGTTCGATAAACAAGGTGCCTCGGTGCGCTGCCATCTTAGAATAAGATATATTGGGAATTTTTGGGGAAAGTTATGGTTTAAAATGATTAGAGACAAAGAAAATATCATAAGGCAAAACCGAATACAATTTTATTCATTTCTATGCACATGGAACACTAGAATTTTTATTACACTATTCGATACAGTGTTTTAATATACTTTGAATTGCCATAACTCTTGAAGTATAAGTTTAAGGCAAAAATACCGTAATACTGTTTTGTAGAGCTTGAAAAATTAGATCGAATAGTGCTATCGCAATTATAGAGTTTCATTTTAAAAAAGGATGCAGTTGCATCGGTGCATCTAAAAAGTGCAATTGTATTTTTTAAAGAAATAGAATTTTATAACTTTGATTACGCTATTTGGTACAATTTTTTAATTTCGACAAAAGAGCACTTGTACCCTATACCTAATAGTTTAAGAGTTACAGCATTTTAAAGTATACTAAATTATTTCACTTTAATTTGTCATAATTCTTGAACTAATAGGTTTATGGCACAAGTGCTGTCATAATATTTTGTAGAGCATACAAAATTAAATCGAATAGTGCTATCAGAATCATAGAGTCTTATTTTTAAAAAGGATGCAGTTGCATCTAAAAAATGCAATTGCACTTTTACAAAAAATCGAATTTTATAATTTTGATTACGCTATTCGCTGTAGTTTTTTAATCTCTGCGAAAGAGTATCAAGACACTAATGCCATAAACGTGATAATTTAAGAGTTGTAACGCTTTAAAGTTTATTAATTTATTTCATTTTAATCGAAAATTTGAACGGAACATTATTTTTGGAAACATATTAATTTCAACTTTCGCAGGTTTCTTTATTTAGCTAAAATAGAGAAAATGTTTATTATTTAAACACTTTTATGTAAAATTTAATTCTCTCTAAAGTTCGTCCGAGCAAATATTCTATTTTAAACCTTGCTTTATTGTTATTTTTTTTCAGTTCAAAATAAGCTATCGACACATTTTTCTTTAATAAACGTAAAATGTTTGTTATGGCGTTAACTTTCTTTCCGAGGTACCGTGTCTACGGTTATTAGAAAAATAATTTTATTATCGACAAAGGATTATTACGTGTTAATTCTATGATCAATTTCTCGACCATCTGTGTCGGTTTTTTTAGGCTCTGTGTGATCGTATGGTGAGAATGTTTTCTCCCACTGGCACAGTCTATCAATGGGTGTGGTTCGTTCGATGTCCGCCACATGTGTTACTAATTACGCCAAGCCAGTCGTTTCGCACGCATCGAATATAGAGAGATCCAGAGCTATTCTTCGACTCCCTGCTCGTCATCGACCGTAGATCTCGATCTAACGTACGATTCTCCAATCCCCGAAGCGAGAAAAATGCATCCGCAATCCTGTATACTTTGAAATATCAGATACTTTCCTCAAACTGCAGCCTTTTCATTCTTACAATCATTTTTTATGATTTAACGACCATCTTAAAACAGCACTTTTTCCAACGTAATTTTTACAATATTGGTTGTAACTATAATTCAAAGGAAAACATAAATTCCATGTGTTTCTAGATTTCTTGTACTCGGTACCTATTAACATCGAATTTACTTGTTTGGAGTAGGAGTTGTGCACGAAAGTAATCGTGTAATATTTATTTTATACGGTGCTTAAAACTTTATCGATACTGAAGCACAGCAGGTTATGTTTTACGGAGTAATAAACGTTAAAATAATCCAGTGAACAGTACTCGGTGCAACAGTTTAACACGGTACTTTACTGTTAAACATCTCGAAAACTGTCGAGTGTCTGTCGCATAAACCTTAACTGCGTGTTTTGGTAATTTTTTAATGGTTTCTTAGAAACTTTTGTTACATAATGAA